GGATGGAGATGGGGTTAGGAACAAAGTGAGAGATCTAATTTGTACTTGGGTACTAATAGGACATCTGATTGTTATTGTACAGAAATGTTTTGGGTGTATTTCCTGTGCCTATTGATTATAATTGTTTCATACAGTGCAGGTGGTTTGGCATGCCTGAAGGTGCCAGCCACTGTGAACTAGAAGGTCAATGAGAAGCTGAGCTCGACTGCTGATTCAGACTGGAGTGTGACAGGGAACCAGAATGAGTTTGATTTTTCAGCTATAAAAAAATCAACAAATGCTTTTACACAAGATGGTTTGATGAGACTTCTCTAGTTTAGTCAGTTAGATTGATGGTAGCAGATGCTGACTGTGCGCCTTCTGCTTCTAGAAACAGATCCAGTTCTGACACTTGGCAGAATCCTTTGGTTTTTGATCATATGACAGCACAGAGGTTTTTTTCCCTTTGGCTGTGAGAAAAACATTTTACAATCTCTCCTCTGCTCAGTCTGAGAAACAAATCAAGCCTTTTTAATCAGTTACCTGACCTAAGATCAGAAGACAGAGTTCTGATGCAGGTTTAAGATGTCTTTATGCTGAATTTGTGGAAGTGACATTAGAGCAGTGTGTAGCAATTATGTCTTAAAAGGACAGGCATGTGTCCTGACTTGCATCATGTATTTTTGTTAACTGGCTAGCTGTGTTATAAAACTGCTGTGCTGCTGTAGTAGTGCATTAGCTTGAGTATCTTCCCCCCCACCTCTCCCCTGTGGTGTGTAAGGAATGTTACTTGGCTGTATTTCCCTGGTACTTCAAAACCATTTAAAGACAGTCTTTGTACAGTCTGCGGAGTACAGAATTGTGAAAGTAATGTATGGAGCATCCCAGGAATACTGTCCTGGAATGAGATGGATCTGAAAAGTCAGGGTTCCAAAGCTTGGATGTGTTGGCAATGGATACAGCCATCTCTTAGGCACTGTATCTTTCAATATTTAAATGCCAGAAGAGGTGTAACTTGGAAATGTGATGGCAGATTAATTATCTTTCTTGAAGGAAAATATTTGAGAGATGAGGACGACAAATGAGATCTGTTCTCAGATCCATCTTAAAACCTAGCTCATACCCCTTGAGCTTAACGCTATGAAAATATGCGTAATTGCTTTATAGTGTGTGCATGAAACTCTGAGTAGGCTACCTCTGCATTCTTCCTGTCTCTTATACACATCTGCCCCGGGCCTCACGCCCACGGAGCTGCACGTCAACTCCACCCCTGTGTAAGGGCCACTACAGCCCTGAGGCAAAGGCAGAAGACGGGCACGGCCCATCCCGAACAAGGGCAGCGATGGAACAGTGCAGCCACTATGGCTGATAAACCCCATGGGCGGAAGGTTATGGATGTACGAACAGTAGTTTAGTACATGTCCATTTACACAGATTCCCCATGATAAGCACAAGGTCTGCAGCTGTTGCCTCCTGTGATTACCAGACAGTTTGCAGTGCAGGTCTGCAGGAGGAGGGGAGAAAGAACTCTAACACAAAGGAGCCCAGACTAACAGACTAAGGGCCAGTTAACAGGGGCTGGGGTGAGGGGTGGTGTGGTGTGGGAAAGACACATTGTGTATTTATATAGTCCAAGGAAAACGAACAAGCCATTTTACTTCCACCTAGGAGAATTCAGTGTTAAAGAGTAACTGCAAGTCCAGAAAATTCTTCTTCAAGTCCCAAGACAAAGTAGTCTTCTGGGCTACCTGTTGAGGATCACAGAGAATGCATCAGGACAATGCTGTGTGCTGCCTCTGAAACATTTGCAAACATGGTTAAGCTTGTGTTACTGCTTTTTGATGTTCTTAAAATTACAGCTAAAAAAACCCAAACAGGATTACACATCGATGATGGAAGTCTCACTTTCTTTATTCCCACTGATTACTGAAGAAAACATTGAAGACATCAGCTATATATATGAAAACATTTAAGACATCAGTTATATGTATGTTCACTATGAGGCATCAGAAGACTTCACATAGTAACAAATTAACTTCTAGTCACCTTACATACCACTGCATGCATTAGGGCTGGGGAACATTGCCAGAAAAGAACTGAACTCCCAATAGGAAAACCAGAATAAAATAAAGGTATAAGATATAATCTATATTACTAAGACTGATCAACACTAATTATATAAGAATAAGTAAAAATGTAGCTGTTCTGTAGGCAGATAAAAATAAGAACCAGTATTACATCCATCTTTGTTTTACAGTTCAAGTCAGGTTAAGTAGTCTGACAATATAGATGCAAACTCCCCTCTGCCCCCATAAAGGCTTATAGAAGAGCTAATCATTAACAAATCAGGAAAATTGTTACATAATTGGCAACAGTCAATTTGACCATGTATAAAATAGTCTTGCCTTTTCAAGGTTGCAATCCTGTAATACATTTGCCTTATATTCCTATGAGGTATTCAAATACATTAGCAGCAATATATTCCATGCTGATGCTCTATAATATGTTGAAGTTAGTAGTTTACTACTTAAAACTAGTTAACCAACAGAATCCCTGTCCCAGATACAACTAGTAATGCAATTTTGATGGGACCTCCTCTCACATCCAAAAGTTATTGCCTTTCACAATGATTGAAGACGAGCTATAAAAATCAGAGCTGACACAGGTTTGCATACAAAAAAGGACAGATTGACTCTATAGGAGTGGTAGAAACGCATCAATTAATCAGACCTGTCTTCTGGGTAACAGCAAATTGAACAAAATATAGAACACTGCAACTGATAGATACAGACAGCAGTTGAAAATGGTATTCTTGAGGACTACTCCAGGATGTTGCCAGCTTTTTCATTCTGGTGTCTATACATACATAAGATACAAAGAACTAGAAACAAATCAGAATAAAGATCTAGCAGACTAATATGCAGTTCTGAGCAGGAAAATACCTGCATTAGTTCAAAATTTCAATCTCTTTACCAGAAGGCTGATTAACCAAGCAAAGAGGTGCAGTCTCTTCAGAGGCAGAGTTTTTTGTTGCTAGATTAAACTGCTGTTTGATAAAAGCCTACATTAGACAATTTTATATGTTATTTAATTTGGGTGTTTGGGTTTTTTTGGTTATTTTCATTTTTCAAAAAAACACTAAAACCCAGAGACTTTGCTTATTCTTCATCACTCAACATTTTTGGATCAAGGCTTGATGTCAAAAGGGAAAAAAAAAAAAAGAATAATATTTACATAAAAAATAGGGCTATGACCTTCATGAAGAATGGATCTTTCCGTCTTTAAAAATACGTGGGTATAAATCTCTGCATGTTTAATAATATCAGTAGAAAGATAGGTCGATTTTTCTCTCAGAAGTATCAAGACAAACACACCACAAGATGAAGTAGCAGTACTATTCAGAGACTGCACAGTCTCTCATTAGAATTCTCATCCCCTTTCTCTACTCTCTAGGGAAACTCAGTGCCATTTCTCCTCTGCCTTCCACAGCATCTCTGACACACATGGCTATTTGCTCTCAGCTACCTCCCCTGACACTAAATTAGCATCAGAGGTACACCCACAGTGCTGTTCCGTATCAGCATTTCCTTTACTTTCTAAGTAAAACCAAGGTGCATCCTGGCAAGAGCCTACATCTACAAACATAACCTCCACCTTGTGTCACATGCAATGACAACATTCTTTTGTTTTAGACTCAGTTATGAGGAATGGGATTACTGTTATAAGAATTGTGCAGTTATCTAGTTAATATGCATAGCGATGTTCTTAGATGAAAAGAAACAGACCGCTTTCTGCTATTGTCATCTTTGGGCAGTACAAAGCTCTCGGGAGCGTCTGACAATTGCAGTCAACCTCATTGCCATACCATTCATAAAATCCATTACACTAAGAGCTACGCGCATAAAATATGAACCGCAAGCACTCATGGACCTGCTTTCCCAACCGGAGAAATGGATACATAGAAAAACTATTCTGGAGGACTTTTCCAAGAAGCTCTCCAGAATATGCAACTGGACTCTAATCAAAGACACAAAGAGCAAAGACAGAGGCAACTGCATAAGAACAATCTCTACACAAGCACACATCCTTGTGATTTTAAAAGCCACAACAGCAGATTTTGCAGCCAGTTTCATTTGGACAAACTCTATAGGGAAGACATCAGTAGATACATTATTTAGTAAAAGAAAAGCACATTGCTTTTAAAACAGCAGCCTCTACAGCAGAGCTGTACAACACTGTACAACAGTGTGGACGAGGCAGAAAAAAACCCTTTTATGTACATCAAGAATTTCCACATCTACAAAATCACTGCATACCTCACCAAACTTGTAATAAATACTTAGGCAGCAAACAAGTATTAGTTTCCAGGTAAGAAACATCCACAAAGGAGACACAAATTTGTTCAGAATTGGCAAGGGAGGGCTCTGGTCTAAAAGAAACCACACTTCAGCATGTACGATGGTGTAACGTTTTGTATTCCTTACACGGAAAAACACGGAAGCTTTAGGATTTGCTCTGGACCTCTTAAATCATTTCAGGAAGACATGCAGGGCTGAATAAAAGGAGAAAGCCAGAATGAGGCTGGGAAAAAAAGATCACTAGTCCACGGCCAGGGCATGCTGAACATTGATTTGCCACAGAGAGAGCAGCTAGGAGGAATCTGTGGACAACATAGAGAGTGGCTGAAGAAAGGACAGAAGGGCAGATCACATGCTGCTTGTAGGTCGAGAGGGAGAAAGCTGCCACTGCACCTCAGGCTGTGCTTCTGGGCTTTACTGTGCACATCATTTCCAGACCAGAATCTGCAAGTTAGTTCTCAGTGACACTGTCTTCTGGACAACATCCAGAACTTTTTCAGCACTGTGACTGTGGCTTCAGTTAGTCTTATCAAACACTAGTCAGTACAGCGGCACAATTATCGCACCTGAGCGCCTGTCAAAGACTAAGAGATATTAGTAATGCAAAGCAGTATAAAGGGACATGCATTCAAATCCAGAGTTACTTGTGCACTGTGTCACAAACTCAGGTCTCCTCTTCCACAAGCTAACAGCAGCGACCAAGGAAACAGCAGCCTACAACGCATAAGCACCTAAACACCTTACATTTATTTCAGTCCATAACCCTGAACGATAAGCAAGTGCGTCCCATAGGCTGACCCAGTGCTAGGAGATTCCTCTCACTTCTCTCTAAGCAAGTTAAGAGAAGATTAGTTTATTTAAAAGCTCGAAAGAATAAGTCATGTACCCCATTTCCTTTTCCCATTTGCTCCAGTTATTGCAGAGCTTGAATATAACATCCTTGTCCAATTCTGAACTTTAAATCCTATGGAAAATCATTAGTTATGTCTGGCTTGTCGGTCACACTCATTCTTCTACAGTCACATAAAAGCATAGTATTTCATTAGCACCAGCAGTGACGACTTTGCATTCTGTAACTCTGTGCTGAGCTGCAACCTCAGCACTGGAATTTATCACATCTGTGCCTTTCACATTTCTTGCTAGTCTTAGGTGTTCCAATGATATATTTTAAAGCAAAAAAAATACCAGAGCAGTTTGCTATGCAACTAAGCACATGGGCTGTTTTTTTTTTCTGGCCTGATTTACATGTTCTGAAAAACCTGCTTCAACATGTTTGCAGGCTAGTGGAGAATCATAATACATTGTTTTGTGTAACCAGTGTTAAGTTTTTTACACTTTCATCTACTCTGTGAGGGTGGGAAATAGATTTTTAGTTCAATTATACTTTTGAAGAGAGAGATATAAACATACAGAGTCTGAGATCTAAGTGCCACAAGAGTAATCTTACAATAACTATGGGACTTCAGTACCATAAAAATAATGCTCTCCTAATACAATTCTTCTAGTCTCCCAATATATATGAAACAAAGTGGTCACATATTGAAGTTTCAGAACTATTTTAAGTTTTCTCAACTGCACAGTGCCAGTACTAATTCACTGCCATGGCCAAATCTGATCTATCCTTGTTTATGAAGCATCTGCTGCTACACACTGATGCTGTAAATACTCAAGCAATTGATGTCAGCAGCTTTTATTAGCAAAATATTAATTTGAGCATTCCAAGATACTCTACGGACATAATTACTCAAGCTGCATTTAAAAAAAAAAAAAATAATCATACATATTACTTAATGAGATAATTTGCAGTGACTATGGGCTACTAAGATTATTAGGAAAAAACCTAATAGCTTGATCACCACAGGTATTATCAAATGAAAGTACACAGCCTTTTATAAAGGGCTAATATTGTTTTGTAAGACTTTCCAGTGACACCAAAAAAACAGCATTAATTCTGCTTGACAGCCATCACCTTCAAACCAAGCCACAAGAAATTTAATAAGGTGAAACATTTTGACTTTATGTCAGAACTTTCTACTCCTCAGGGGTTAAACAGAAACCTGTGATTTATTGTCTGATAGCTTTTTTACTAAATCCCAAAGCTAATACAATATGCATTCTCTAAGGGGTCTGACTGTCAAACCACCTTCCCCACAGGTTTTTCTCGTATTGCAGCCCATTCAGTTAAAAACAGTGTTTTAATCAGCTTTAAGGAAGGGGGAGGGGAGAGAGATATCAAAACGAGATCTTACATGGCTACATCTTCACTATACATTCTGCGCTAGTCCCATGGACTTGCTTTAACAATAAGTAACGTATGCTTTTTGCAATTAACATCCAAAGAAAGAATATGCACTTTGTATGTTTATAAGAAGCTATGAAAACATCTCTCTAGGTTACAAACCTAGAAAAGCAGTTATTCACTCCGATCCTTCGGCTCTCGGTATTTCCACTGGATATAGTCAAAGATGTCTTTTTCACATTCTACTGGTAAGGCCTCCCCAGCAACTCCTGCAAGCAAATTATAGATGCCATTTGAAAGGTCTGTACAATCCTGAAATGCCAAACGCATTCCAAGATTATGACAAAACTGATGTAAGTAAAACAGACAAACCAAGACAAAACACCCCCCACAGACCTTTTCATACAGTGTTTAGGTACTGATTCTCATTAGCATCAAAGGAAATAAGGTAATTAATGACCTTTAGGCCCAAGTGGTTATACAGTTGGATATATTTATAGTCATATATAGTTATGCCTAAATATATATATATATATATATATATAGAGCCCCCCTCCAAAACAGAACAAATGAAGGACATGATATTTTGTTAGAAGAGTGGGAAAGCACATACGTGCCGTGCACGACACCGAGAAAACAATCTTTATGACAGTAAGACTTTAAGTAAATTAGGTGGCCCAAAGAGGTAACTTCGTGCCACAGTGCTGCCTATACATAAGTAGGGTGCCTCTTCCTGATATAATGGTGTCCAAAACAAAAAAAGACACAAAAAAATTTTATCAACCACAGTATTTATCAGAAGCATTTCCGGTACACCAAGAAACCAATTTAAGGAGGAGAAGATCACACAAAGCATGTAACATGTAGCTAGAAAGAATACTCTGTGCAAAGGCCCAGACTGACCAGTGACACCCAAGGGACGGATTGTATACTCATTGATCGTGAAGCCCATTTCCAAAGCATGTGTTCTCATGTTCTTATTGAATATATCACTTCCTGTGAAATACAGCACACCACAGTAATACTGATCTTTGGGGATAAGCCTAGAATAAAAGTGGAAGAAAAGTACAGATTTAGCACAAGGATATAACAAAGTTACAAGCCATCTGTAAGTCCACCATTCAGATACTGTTCTAGGCGCACACATTCCGCACCTCCGCACATTTGATTTTCCCACAAGCCAGAGATGCAAGAATGAAATGAATTTCCTATCAAAGAAAGGTTCAGCACATCTACCCTGACCCAGAAGTTACTGCTGTTCAGTCACTACACAATGACGGTGCTCACACTCCTGCCAAGAATTAAAGCAGTACGATAAAGTAGGTCGTGATTCTGAAAGCGGATACAAAGTCATGATTTAAAATACAGCATTCTCACTAATAACCTCTTGTAGATACTGGCAGTTGTACAGTGGCTTTCATACTGCAAAGGAATTAGAAACCTAGCAAATGCCATGTTCTGAACGTGGAAGTAGAGATCTGAATGCAGAACGCGATGCAAATGCCTACAACGTAGCAGAGAGCTACAGTAAGGGGGGGAGATGTTGCGTGCATGTACCGGATATCAATTCTCCTATGCGGATAGGCTGTTCCATCTTCTTTATTTGGCAGCTGACAGACACCCTGTGAGGAGGTAAGGAAAGCAAGAAATTAAAAATGAAATTAAACAGATTTGAGATCAATCTTTACCTCCCCACCCCTAAACAATCCTCAGTCATCCCGGAGAGCAAAGTTAAATTCCTTCTGAACTGATTAAGTATTTCACTAGAACAGATGGATGTCGTAATACTGTGAATCACTATTTTACACTGCTAAGATATAGCATATACATTTTACACTAGCTCAATGTAGCATGTAATTACAGCAGGAAGGTTCACAGGACTTCTCATTTCCCACTCCTCTGCCCTAATCATTATCAGGCTCTTCAATATGCATAAACATCAACAGGTTATGGAAAATGCAGACAAAGCTCAAGCTAATAGAAAAAGTTTTTTTTCTTGAGGAATCCTCTGTCAATCTTAATTTCTAACTACTTCGTAATCTTCATGCAATTCCCCTACCAGCCTTTTCCTTTTTTCCCTAGTCTATGTCCTTAAATGACAATGCAGTAAGGGGGAGGGATATGAACTGTAAGGAATGATGAGAAATGTTTATATACTAAACCGTTATTACCAACTGCAGCTTCACGCTGAGACTCCTCCTTCTATTATTAGCATTGTTTTGAAAACTTAACATTTCTTACACTTCTAAAGTTACGTTGTCCATCTCCTGACTTAGACTTGCTTTTCCCAGATTCTCAGCTTCAGTCGTATTTCACTTTTTACAACATTCCTTCCTTAATTTTCACTTTGAGGACAGAAGCTGTTCCACAACTATTTAAGACCAACAGGATTACACAGAGCAAACGATCAAACTAAAATGAGCTTGTCGAACTGTGAGCGCAAACTAGGAATGCAGTGTCTCTGCTTTTGGCTCACAGATCTACAATTGGCTTTCAACCCATATGGTATTTGCACTTAAACCATTTGGCAAGAATGAGAGTGACTTCCTCATTCCTCCTAAAGATAAAGCCAAAAAACCACCATCAAGTTTCATTCTGTCTCAGAATGCAACACAAACCAAACTGAAGACAAATTCTGAGATTTCTTTTAGCTCTTATTTTAAGCAAAACCAAACCAACAAAAGTTGGAAGTGCTCCAACAGCCCCCTTTCATCTTGAGAAAGTAAGCATCTTTAACTGCAGTATTATATATTCAAGTATTTATGCCTTCCAAAATATTAGCTGAATATAACAGTATCTCGATTCTTGAATAGAAATTCATACGTCATGGACCTTTGGTGAACCCTCGTGCAGGACCTCCGAGCTTCCAAGGAATTCCATAAAGACAGCTACAGCGACTGACAAGAACTAACCAGTCCTCATTTTCACTCAGTATTGCTTATGTTTCTAAACTTCTGTTACAATTAACTTTTAACCAGCCTATAAGACCAGGATGCCCGAGGCCTGTAAAGAAATCTAAGTGAAGCAAGGTAATGCCCAATCCACACGTTTAAGAAAAAGTCCTCCTGTGAGCAGGGGACCTAACAAAATGAATGTTCCTGCAATTCATTAATTTCTTCAGGTATCTCACATATTCCCTATTACAAGCCGAGTCTAGCAGCTTATCTGTTAGATCTGCTCTGCAACAAAATTGACAAAAAAGGAGACAAAAAGTATATTACATATTAGACAAAACAAGGTAAGCATAGGCCTGAAATCAAAGATACGTTTCCAAGATCTTGAGGACAGAGTTACAAAAGTGGTGCAACTGAAGTAGTAAGGTGGTGCTAAGGTTCTGGGGAAACATCAAGCACAACAGACATCCAACTGGCACTGTGTGATGAAGTTTATGTCAGTGGGGTTCAGCACTAATCTAAATGTTTTCTAATACTGAAATCTTACCATGAGAGATTCACTAAGAGTCAACTACAGAAATTTTTTAATGGGGGGAAGGGGGGAAATAAAAACACCCCCACATTTAAAAAGATCACAACTCCAGCAGTCCAAACAACATATCTTGTATACATTCTAGCTTCTGTCAGGAAAGGTAATCCTCATCAACATCCCTCACCACCAAAGCAGCCTTACCATGAATTTGGTGTCACCTTTAGACAGCATATCTGTGACAAAGTGGACTTTTTCCAGTTGTTCTACAACTTGACGCAGAAGTTTTGACTAGGAACAGTGAGAACATAATAGAAATTATTTCACATATAACAAGAATATCTTACCCATTTTCCAAACAATGGCCCACATAAGTACGAGACATCGCTATAATTAAACGTACATTACATCTGAACCAGAGGGGAAAAAATGTAACAATAAAATTATAGTTGTACAATGTAAAAAAAAATTTCCACCAAAATCTCCATGTCAGAGTTATAAAACTAATTTCTTGGCTTGAGTTTTCAACTTTTAAGCAATTAATCTATAGAAGCAACACAAGAAATAGAAACTGCCATTAATGACTTCTCCAGAGTTAGTCCCAAAAGATTATAAGGACAGGAGGACATCTGCTTCTCGTCCAAAAGATTACAGCTACATAAAGAGATACTTACTCTACCTTTAATCCCTACTTTATGCAGGTAGCTATTACAGTTCTACATTGTAAAAGCACATGAATATGAGAGGGTGGGGGAAGCACGCATGTGAAGAGGAGGGACAGAAGGATAAGAGTGAACGTATCAAATAGGTCTGCAAGAAGAACGCAACATTACACATGGACCTCACAAGTGATAGCTCCTCAAAATAAACATGGTGATCCAATAGAAGAGTTTACTATACAGTAATAAAAAGATGCAAGAAACTGCAACGCAAGTCCGAGACTATGTATCTTCAGAATTTAAACATACCCTCGTGGAAGCAATGCACGGTACCCACCCACAGTAGCAGAGAAACACACCTGTTTGGACGACTCAGATGTGAAACTCGGATGGGTTAAGAGAACATCCATATCGCCACTCGACTCTGCGCCTAGGCAAGTAAGAAGCAAAGAAAAAACCCTCTGCATATGACAAAGTATACTAACATTGGTGAAATACCATCTAAGCTGTTCCTATAAATGTTTGGTAGAAAATAGTCACTATTCAAGGTATTTGAAAAATAACTATCTTAAAGAGAACCTTGTTCTTCCATCAAAAAGTTTATATCCCTGCATATTGCAGAATTTCGAGAATTTCTTGCTATACTGTAGGGCAACAAAGCACAAATGTTAAAACAAAGCAAACAACTCACACATTACAATATACTACTCTTTGTGGGAGCAGGGTGGAGAAGCAAGAATTTACGCAGGAGTTTCATCACTGAACTAACCAGTCAAGACAATACTCACAGGAAAAAGCCAGGTTCTGGCGTAGACTTCTTCTCTAGAGAAACAACATCTGTAATAACAAGTCTTGCTTATCAGCCCAAAATAAACATAACAAGATCACAGAGTACCAACCTCGTCTAAAACTGCCACAAACTGTAGCAATATAGTTTGGGTCCAGCTTCTTTACCTCTTCCAGCACAATTTCCTATGTAAAAAGGAAAGATGCATGTTTAGAGGCATGCCTCATTGGACATCAGTACCTCACATCCTCTCTAAATAGATTCTTACCTGCATTTGCAGCATTTCTTCCCTTGGGATTCTCTTCTCAAAATCCTCAAAATATCTGCATATATGAAAATAAAAGTGAAAGAGTGGCAAGGGTAGCATCTTAATATTTTAGTCAATTAAACATGTACCAGAGGAAGGAATACAACTTACGTTACTGTCACATCACAAAAACCTCCCTGTTCTCACCAAACATCTTAGAAAACGTCTGCCAAGCAATAGAAAAACCTCACAACTGCAAGTTTGACAATGTTTAGAAGATGGTTTCGTTGCATACTATTTCCACTGTGTACGAAGAGCTGCCACAAGGTGGGAGTAATATTACCATATAACCATTTGGTTAATGTTTACACAGCCCTCTGAAAACACAAAAGGTTCCTCACAAAACTCAGTCCAGCAAACAGGAGGAACAGGTCCCTCACCCATGATCAGATGTGATCTATGCTGGAAAGAGCTAATGGAAGCTCACAAGTCAAATACAGCTCCTAATATCTTTTCACAGAGCTGTAAAAGACAGACTGACAGCACACTGCTTGACTGTGGAGAAAAGAGGTCAGGTGAAACGATGATGCACCTGACCAGCGGGCACATTTATCACCCCTCCAGCACCAGAACCATTGCCAGCAGGCACTGGCAGCGATACTGCAGCCCCCGAGCCACACATTCCCAGACACCCACTGCCCAACCACCCCAATCCCAAGCTCTGCAGATAGTGCTTCTGGATCTAGGGACAAAAAGACCACCATAGAGCACTGAAACCATTTCTTCAGCTCAGCACTTACTGGAGGTTCTGAAACATCTGAGCACAAAGCTGGAAGCAGACTCAAGGGCAATGTGCGCACGAGCAACACAAACAGGTCAGCTGAGTTTTCTTACACTCATTTAACAGCAAAAGGTTTTCCCTTGAATGCTCTCACATACAAAGGCAGGGATGCACAGTGGATACAGGGCTCAGATGTGCAGAGGCAAAGCGACAATCACAGCGTAACCCTTCTCACTCGTCAGCAAGCAGTTTGTCCAGATTGCGTACTTCCACATCCCCGCCACTAATGTGGAAACACTGTTGCTGGCCCCACACAGAACCAATTCATTTATAGGGCTTTATTTGGTTCACCTGCAGCTTCTTGAAAACTCAGCTATAGTTCGCCCAGAACTAGCACACTGGAACGGCCACTCAGCCAGTAGCATTCAAGATGGTAAATACTGAGGGAGAGACACACATTCTGCACGGCATTCTCAAGTTCAGACATACAAATGTCTTACCTTGCTCACAGCACGTAACAAAAAATAGCCTGGGCAACTTTTATGTAGATTCCCAAGAAACATCACTGCAACCTTGCTAAGTGATGCTCCATGAGCTAACTGAAAAAGTAATTTGAAATTAATTCCCTTCCAGATGGAGCCTAAGGCTACTCAATTTCAACCTCAATGAAGCAAAAGCCTTGATAACTGCTGAAAAGCACGTAGAGCATGCAGAGAGAACAGAACCTTACATTACATCCTGGTGTCTGAAGGAGTCATTAGAAATTCATGCACTTGCACCCAAGAAAGCTTACTTTAACCCAATTTGCTGGTGATGGGTCAACTTGTGCTCATTTTTTCTTAGATCTAGAAGAAGTAAAGAAAAAAAAAAGTTACTTGAGGCCTAAAATTCTTACAGTAAGTTTCCACCAATACAAAGATGATGCACACAAATAATATGTACCAAGAAAACAGCAAACTCAAACACAAAGGAAGAGATTTCAAACTGACTACTCAACAGCTGATAGGACAAGTACAAATGCACAGAGCACTTCCTGATAAAGACTTCAACAGACCATTCACCTCAAAGCCAAAAACCCTGTTATTTTCCACGTAATCTGTAAGCACTTTACTTTGGATACATATGTAACACCTTTAACCTACGCACTAACTTTAGCATCTTATATGCTTTCCTTAAAGCATAGGGCATATCTGCTATCACAGTACCACTGTAGAAGAGGCAGCTTGACAAAAAAAAAAAAAAAGCATTATTGGAGCATGACCCAAGGATCCAAAGCTACATTTACCTTCTAAAGTCTTAATTCCTTCCTCGACAAACTTCCTAGCAGCAGCAGGACTGCAAAGAGATAAGGCAAGCTACCATCAGGAACAGCAAGAATCTTACAATGCTGAAAAGGACATTAGAATTCACTACAACCACCTAGGTTCTTCAAGGCCAGGACTGAAGTCACTTCTGATGCTTATCCTCTTTTCAGCATACACATTTTCAGTTTGTACTTTTAATTGGCAGAGATGGCTATCCAAGGCTTGGCTTGAACATTTTTTAGTGTTGATATAACTATACAGAAATATATAATCATAAAAAATAAAATCTCAACAAATAGGTAGTATTGATTCAGACAATAATACTGAATGTGTGATAAGAACTACTTTAACCACAAGCAGTCTCAGAACTGGGTTAAGGCAACAGCAACACAAAAGTGTCTTTAGACTAGCACTTCACAAAACCCAAGGAGGCTCCAGTCTGCAACCTACAGTACAGTAAAGCAGTAGCAGCTCCAATTTTGCTGGAGGGTTTGTCTAAAGCACAGCACACAAGTGAATGGCCAAACCTTTTTCCCCTTTGAGGGTTTTTCATTAATCTGCGTGACTCACTGGGGAAAGAACAATGTTTCAACTGAGACGAGCATGCAGGTAATGTTATGCCCAGATACCTATCCAATATCTCAAAATGCTGAGAACCATCAGCCTGGAAGGGCAGTCCTTTCTTGGGGAGCTACTCTCCATCTGTTCTGGAATCCCACGGTTACAACTCCACCACCCTTAAAGACTTTGAATCCACTTCCTCACAAAATTCTTACGTTACAATAGGATTGACAGATCTTGACTTGCCATTTACTTCCTTTCTTATCCTTCCCTGCATCTCTTGCTGCACTCCAGACCAAGGGAGGCAACTCCCACTGTCCTGAGACAGGACTGCACTCAGCCTTCTCCTTCTGCATCCCACCCTGATTTCTCAAAACCATTCTCAAATCCCAGTAAAACCTCAAACTCTGAGCACATTTTCCCTCAGAATTGAGAAAAATCACATTCCCTACCCTCAGCCTCAAAGGGTTCAAACGTTTCACAAGGGCCCTGGTGATTTTTTGGATTTTCATTTGGTTTTGTTACATTACAGGGCTCTACTTCTCCTTTTACAAACACGTGACAGAGCACCATTGTCACTGGGCCCAACTTCCCACCAAAAGTCCCAAAGGGACTTCTCACTTTTGCTCTTCTCAGTCTTTCACAATTCTGTTCTTGACAAGCTCTTCTCCTTCTGCTCTCAGTTTGTACACAGGAGATTCCCACTTCCACTCCTCTACCACAAAGTCTGTAACTGACAATTCTATCTGTACCCTTTCTTCTCAGTCAGTTGTGCCACCACAACTACAGTGTCTCAGTACGGTCACTACAGTATCAGCTCAAACTCATTCTCTTCATTACTTGCAATCACCCAAATTTTGTTCATAGCTCCACCAAATAACCTGAAGAAAAAAAACCCAAAGCCAACAAACTAACACACTTTACCCAATGCCGGTAACCCGTGTCAAGAGATTGATAGATGCACTTGTATCATCTTGTCGAATCTGCAAAAACAAACCAACACAAACCAAGCCCTTCTTTACTCCATTTGCCATAAACAAAGAAATCTTGAGAAGATAAAGCAGTTCAGTCAGATTCTGCTTTGGAGACTCACTGTAAATCAGCACAAGGCAGCACCAAGCATAGTACCATGTATTACAATAATGCCATATGTACTAAGCCTGAAAAACCACATAACTACTCATGCTAAGGTGAACAGCATGGTTAAACACAAAACTCCGCTGCCTTCCAGAGTCAGAATTCAACTGCTCCCAGAAGACGTTCATGTGCTGATCCTGTAACCTAACATATTTTCACAGACAGTTTTGATGTTTTGCCTGAGCTTCTTATTCCCTATTTTCTACTCGCTATAGACTCTGTCTCCACCATTTTTAAGCCAGACATCAGTCCGTTCAGGAAACGACAACGGAATTTGCACAAAGCAAGGAGGCTACTCTCCAAGTTATAAACAAAATCAGCTATCCAGAAATAGAGCACAAGGGGACAAAACCCACCTACCTTTTCCAGTTTGCGTAGTTTTCCAGTGGATAAGAACTCATCTATCTTCTCAGCTATTTTAGCACCTACTCCATCCTAAATATTGGGGTGGAACAGGGACAGAAGACAAGTTAACTTCAAGATTACCTAAGGCCATTATATCTAGAAAAAAAAAAAAAAAGGTCTAAGAAGTTAAGAGTCATGAAAGAAATGTGAGATCACCAAGACCACGATAAAATAACGGACCATAAGGAAGTGCAAGAATTCAATGGTACAACACAAGCAGCATAAACAATGTAATCCAAGGGCTGTATTTAAATTTCCCCCAAAGCAATAATTTTGAACAAGGCTTTATTACTGCTCAAGTTCTCCGAATTTAGGGAAGCAGTACCAGAGCAAAGGTGAAACCTGCCAAAATAGAATCCTTTTACAGCTGGAGTCCCCAGGTCCAGCTATGGAACCCCAAGAGCAGACACACCGCATCCCCATCCCTCAGAGGAGCTAGGACAGGCACACTCAGCCCCGTGCTGCCTGGGAGCCCCCCCCGGCGCTCCCGTTATCCCCCAGCCCTCCCACCGGCGACACCGGCACCTACCAGCTTCTTGGCTTCAGCTCCGCTCCGTATCTTGCTAGGGTACCGGGAAATCACCGAGGCCGCCTTCCTGCGGAACAGCGTGATCAGCGCCCAGCGGCGGAAGGCGTCGGTCGCCCGGCGGCGGGCTGGGCCCTTAGACGGGGGCGCCGGGGGGGAAGGGGAAGGCGGTACCTGTACGCGTTGTACTTGTGGATGGCCCGGTTCACGTTGCGCTCGTAGTTGGCTAATTCTGCGGGGAGGGCCCGGTGAGGGCGGCCGGGCCAACCCGGCCCCACCCACCGCACAGACAGAGAGACAAACAGACCTACCGGTAAGAAAGTCGGTGATGCCCTCGTTGGGGCTCTCCTGCGGAGCCTTCCGCTTGCTCATGGCCGCGGCACCGGCACCGCGGCGGAGCCCGGCTCGGAGATGGAAGCGAGATTCTTCCGGTAGTGACGTCACAGATCGCGACCGGGACCTGCAGCACGCATGCGCGGCGCCCAAAACACGCATGCGCGGCGTCATCAGGAACAGGCTGTCCCGGCACTGCGCATGCGCGGCGTCATCAGGAACAGGCTGTCCCGGCACTGCGCATGCGCGGTGGCACCTCGGTTTGCGTTGATCGGGGTGGGCATCGCTACCGCCGTGCCCCCTGTGACACAGCACCAGGGGTAGTTTTGTTGCCGCTTTCATGTGGTTTCCTGGGGGCTTCCAGCTGCTCCCTAACAAGCGTCGTGCCCGTTCCCCGAGAGCGTGTGCCGCTCACCGCTGCTGCCTGGCAAACGCCACACGGTGCTGCCGGTGGGCGACACAGAGGTGCCCCCGTGCCCCACGCTGCCACCCGCCAGTACCGTAAGTGCGATGCTCTGATGCCCGTGGGGGGTGCGGCCACGCTCGGTGCCCCTCCTGGTAAGGAAATGCTGCCGCCACCCCACGTGACGCTGCCGGCGGGCGCTCGGTGCGCAAAGGGCAGGACTGCAGCGCCAGCCCCGCACAGGTGTGCGGCACCGCCAGAGCCGCCTTCCTGCTGCCGCAGCGTGAGGCTTGCTGGGTGTGATTCCTGTGGTGGGGGAGGGCTGAGGCCAGCCGGCCCGTTTGGCAGGTGTGGGGGCCCCTCCTGCCCGCTGGTCACACGGCAGTGGTGGGACAGAAAGCTTCACGCCGCCCACTGTGTCACGCCTCCGCTCCGCTGGAGGTGATTGGGACCAGGGGAACCCCAGGGAGTCACCTGAGAGCTGGGACAAAGGCAGAGGGGAAGAAGATGGGTGTCCCCCAGGGGTTGGTGCTGGGTGCCTCCCCAGCTTGCCAGAGCTCCCCTTGAGTTGATTCTAGCCTCAGCCACACCGTGCCCTGGCCCCAGCTCTTGCACCTCCACTGAAGCCTGTCCCATAGTCCCAGGTCATCCCCAGGGCCTGTGGGGATGGCGGCAAGCTGGCCCTTGATGCATCTGCAGGAGCCCCTGTGGAGGGAGGGCTCTGGCCAGCGGCAGTCTGTGGTAATAATGGCAGACCCTTCTGTGAGAGCAGAGCAACCAGGCCTGTGAGAAACTAAGACAAACAACCTGGGAAAGCAAAAGTTGAGGCTGATTGAAGAAATGCCTCAAACACTCCCAAGACAAACCTCTGAGTCACAGGGTGCATCCTGTGGAGGCCGAAGCTGATAACGCTGCCCGATGTATCTGGGGGAGAGAGCCCTGTGGAGACAGGACGGCTCTGCCCTGGGGCACCTGGGCAAAATTCAAGGGCCATGTGTCCGGTGAATGAACTTTGCTTCGTTATCCACGAAATGCATATTAAAGTTAATACCCCTCAATATGCTAACGAGGGCTGTCATGATCATGCTAATTACATCATCCCATGGAACACCTTACCCCTCCCCATACATGGGATGCGTAGGTCTGTGGGTCGACCTAAGGGATGGACCTAAGGAAAGTGGGTATAAATCGAAGGGGAGAAGAAAGGGATCTCTCTCTCTCTCTGACCCCCTCTC